GCTAACACTAGTTGCGTGGCTATCTTTAGATTGAACGGTCTTTAGACTGAACTGTCACGCTTCTCGTTGCGTCACACCTCAACCCGCCTCAAAGCCAACGCTGATTGGACGTTCGTTTGGTGAACGGCTCCAAATTTTCTTTAACGGAGAGTCTCCAGACTGATTAGCGAGTGAAATCTTGAAAGCTTGCGAAATCAGGATGGTCTCACAAGGCTAGGATATATTAAAATCTCACAAAAGTTAGACATTTCTATTAAAAAAAAATCCAGTCTTAAAATCTGTGGGGTTTTTTCCATTATCTTATGCAGGCCAGTTAGTTATACGTCAGCCTGAACACCTAAATTCAGCCAATCATATATCAACGAAAATCTTGACAGTATTTGTTCATAGATCCTTCCATTCTGTCTGACTGAGCTTGAGCTCTTTTGCAAATAACAATAAGCAATCTCAGTCTCTAGATCTGCCAAGCACATATAGACATTCGACACTCCTGAAGACGTTAAGGATTAAAGTTGTAGGGAAGTCATATTTAAATGTAAAATCATTCTGGATTAAACATGTATATAAATGTTCTCTTCATCAGACTATATTGTCCCAAAATTAAAAAAAATGCAATTTAAAAAAAAATCCTGTCTTAAAATCTGTGTTTTTCCCCGTTATCTTCTGCAGGCCAGTTAGTTATCCGTCAGCCTGAACACCTAAATTCGGCCAATCATATATCAACGGTCATCTGTCAATCAATTTTTTTTGGTCATAGCGTCTTGATTCCTATGTCGCAGCTAATATATGCAACGGTTGAAATAAGAAATCAGAATCATTTCCTTTCCCATTGAGTTCCGTCCCAGTGGTCACGGGGATGGACGTCTGTGTCTTCAGCAGGCGTAGAGCTAACAGAACTGGCAGCGTTGCGAGGCAAGGGCTTTCCTCCTCTAAATAAAAAATGGATGATGGAGGAGACTCATCCACGACCTTCAACACTAAGCTCTCCTCTTGCATGTTTCCTCTGTCCATAGCGTTCCTTGACAGCGTCGTTTCTAAGTCACCAATTTAGTGCTAATTGGTCCCAATGCAATTTCCCATTGGGAACCTACTAGCACTAAGATGCTAACTGGTTAGCAAGATGCTTCCGATAAACCGGTTACAACCAAACTTGCTTGCGAACCTTCCACCACAACAACCCCACCCCTTGATAAACAACCAATTTCGGAAATTCAAATGTTGGAACAGCTGCTTCCCTACGACTTTAACGCGAAGCACATGTGGAGGGTTTAAAGATTAGGGTGATGTGAAAGAGGCCTTCCAACCTCGAGGGCTTTGAGCTTATCAGCAGAGTTAAATGGTCAAAATACCAGTGAGAAAAAAAAAATCTGCAATTATAGGAAGGGTTTGACTGCTTCAATGTGAAGTCATTAAGAAGGCTTTAAAAAAAGTTTTGAAAAAGTCCTTTCAACAGTTTGTTCCCATGTCTGCTGCTTTATCGTATAAAATAATCTGTTTGGAGCTGCAGGGTGACCTAATGTGAAAAGGCGGATGGATGTGAGTCCTTCTCTGAGGAAGGCCAGCAGGTCCAGCTGTGAACAGTTATGAGAACCGAGGGCCCCTTTAGATCAGATTTTTTTTTCTCTTTAAGTGCAGAGCAGTTAAATTCCAGAGTTTATTTTTGTCTGCAGTGGGTGCAGACAGGTTTGATCCTTTAAAAAATATCTGTAACAGAGATGGTAGGTTACAGGACAGAAGCCTAACCCAGTCATTCCAGGGATGGTTTAAGGTGCTGATGTGTTTCTTTATTTCTGTGACCCATTTTGTCTCTAAAGACACATCCACTTAGCTGGGAGGAATACTTCGTGTTTGGGATTTAGGGCTGAGGAAGAGGGCTCCCTCGGGGAGTTAGCCTGTTTGTCTTTCATTTTTCTCTCAGAAAGTGATGCAAATCATCATAAAATGGCTCTTAGTGCTTCCAGCTGTTTTGACAAATGAGAAAGCATATTTGTCCTTCATAGGCACGCATACTTACAGTTTTTTTCTTTTCTAATCGAGCATGATCTGCAGGATTTTTTTGATTTGAACTGAATAAGAGCGGATGAATCTGAAAACCCTTTATATTGCTGATCTACAAAGCTTCAGCTGTGATCGAACGGTCTGCAGCTGCTACCTGGGGGCAGCTTTCATTTCCCCCAAGGCTCTCCTCTAATGTTTGAGGAGCCTGTGAATATAACACCAGTGAATCGCATCCATGTGCTGTCCACTAGATGCAAAGAAACGCCCACAGAGACCCGATTCATGCATCTTTTCTCGCTGCCTGACCTGCCGCCACATGACGCTGTTACAAAATAGGAGAAAAGGTCCTGTCTGGCTCGAACTGAGGCGCAGAGCGCTTGTTTCCGAGTCTTAATCAGAGAGAGGCTTGTTGCCTCACAGCAGGGATCGCAACAGGATACCTGGGCTAGAAAAGCCCAGCAGGCCTCCAGCTTTGCCTGCGGATTAAAAAAGGAAGAGGAAGGACTGTTGGTCAGAAAGGGAGACAGATTATCCTCCTCTCCTTGCTCCACCTGTCAGCTTAGGTTGAGGTAAATTTGTAGGGCAAAGCATGGTTAGCTTTATGTAATTAATTTGCTTAAGTCACCTGTGATATAAGTTAACCTGAGAGATTTGAGTGCAAATAAGATAGTTAATTTTGCAAAGGGAGTCTGATCCCAAGCAGCTAGGAAGACTGCAGCTTGTTTATGTTTGTGCACTGATCTGATGTTGATATCGGTCAACAGGAAGGCAGTGGCTGTGTCAAGAATGCTTTGGCTGCTCTTCTTGCTGCTGAGATAATGAGATCTCACCCACTGAATCTATGCCCCGTCTTTCCTGGGGGCTAATTTCAGCCCCTTAAGCTGCTGATGCTCAGAGGAAGTAAGTTAAGTAAACCAAGTTGGAGCACGTTCAGCCATCCCGGCGGGCGAAGTGCTGTGAAGGTAAAGCTCGAGGAACAGTTGCCTCTCACACCGGAGCTTTTGAGGATCAGAGGTTGTGGTATTGATTGGAATCGAGAGGCTTTGTCTTTCATGATCATATCTCATGAGTCTGAGAAGAGACACAGAGTGAAAATGCAAACAATTATGTTTCAATTGCCAACCAAAAGCAGTTCCTCCCGCAGTTTTATTTTTTTAATCTTTTTTTATTATATGTTAAACTGACAAGAAAAAAGAAACTGCTACGATCCTGTATTTTTAAAAGTGGGCATGAAACGTCCTCCTGGAGGTTATGAATGGATGTATTATATCTCAGCTCCAATTTGATGTTTTTCAGATGGAAAATAAAATGTCATAAAAAAAAAAAAAAAAAGAAAATTAAAAACAATCTACTGGACTTGGTTTCCAAGTCTGAAGACGTTTCGCTTCCCATCCAGGAAGCTTTCTCAATTCAAAATGAGAAAGCAATCGAATTGAGAAAGGTTTTTGGAATGACTATGACCTGGATGGCTGAGAATCTTCACCAGAGTAAAATAAAATGTCCTAAAGTATGTAAATATGGTGGTTCAGAATAACCAACAATGGTAAATGAAAAACCTCTTTGTGTTGGCTGTAGTTCAAGTCCCCCTCAGCATGATCCACCCAACACCATGCTTCGTTATAAGCCTATTATTTTCTCACAAAGGTCCGCATAATATTCCCTCTTCCTCTGATGAGATAAATAAACTGGAAAAGATGAAGCGAAGGAAAAACCTGTACCCTTTGATACTCTGTTCATATTTTCTAAACCAGATGAGCAACATTATGTTGGAAGTGAACACTTTAAATCCCCCTTAAATTCTCCCCAAAGCTGTTGAAATTTAGAGCCTGTTGTCATGAAATCGCTGGAAGGAAAATGATTGATTTTAATCATTTTAATATTAAACTAGTTTTGCTTATGGCCAACCTTTC